TTGGCACACGGCCCGCCAGGGTAAGCCCCCGGTGGGCAGAGCCAGTTTGTTACCTGCCGCGTCCACATGTTCGGCACATCGCAGCTTCCACTGGCTGCAGTTTGCCACTCCAGGCCAACGGGGGCTGCTGGAAGTGGCGCAGGCTGAGGGATGTACTGGCCGCCATTTCCTGCAGCCCCCATTGGCCTGGAGCGGTGAACCGCGGCTAGTTGGAGCTGCGATCAGCCGAACCTGCGGATGCGGCAGGTAAACAAACCAGCCCGCCAGGGAACTTACCCTGGCGGGCCGTGTGCCAAAAGTTGCCGATCCCTGATCTACACCATCAATGCTCTGAATTATTGAGATATGGACAATCAAAACTTTGACCTCTCTATATCTATGTTTTACCCCTTTCTTTCTTCCTTTTTGTTTTGTTCTTTTAGATTGTAAGCTCTTTGGGACAGTGGTTGTGCCTTTCTTTCTGTTTGTAGTACCTTTCATGCTGTGGGTGTTACCAGAAAAAATATCTGATTACAGGAGAGCTGTCAATGACAGTGGCAGCATGATGGGGGGTGGGGAGGTTCCCTACAATGAGGGAGTAAAGATGGAATTTAGAGGGGAACCAAAGAGAAGGTAATTGGTTTAACTAACTGATATGAATGCACACCCTGTTCTGTCTTACTGCTTTCTTACAGAGTGGGCATGATCATTAGAAAGTTATGATTAGCCGGGCAAGAAGCTGACGGTGCAGGGAACTGATTTAACCACAAAGCGCAGAACTTTTTAGATTAGTGGTTTTCAATCTTTTTTCATTTGTAGGCCCCTAAAAATTTTTGAATAAAGGTGCAGACCCCTTTGGAAATCTTAGACATAGTTTGCAGTCCCCCAGGAGTCTGTGGATCACAGGTTGAAAACCACGGTGTTAGATAACTTTGTCTTTTCCATCACATCAGAGATCATTACTTTTGTGAAGGAGGAGAGGCAGGGGGATGGTAAGATGTTTTCCCTACTTTTAAACACTCTGGGCCAAGATCCACTGAAGTCAATAAGAATTTTTCTTGAGTAGAGCATGCAGGATTTGGCCTGTTGTTTTCAAAGTCAAACTATTGCAGACTTGAAGACCTTGTTAGATGCAACAGTCTTTAGTACTATATGAAAAGTAGAACTTGTATCATTCAGAAAACAGCCACAGCTGAAATATACAAGAGAGAGTTCTCTGTTACTGGTTATCTTTTTTATTCTTTTTCCATAGAAATGGAGGTTGAATCAACAAATATGGGACACGTTATTTTAAATAACCACCATATAGGAATTATTTTAAAGCACTTACTTTATTTTAACTGGTCTGACATTCATTGCCAGAGAAACCCAACTGATTATGGCAGCCCAATTGTTAGAACTCTCTTGTAGATTTCATTTGTGTCAGAGTGCAAGAAAATAAAGTGTTTAAAAATGTCCTAAGTGGTGGGAAAATCTTGTTTTTATATTTTTCATGCTCAGAATTTTCTAAAATAACCAAACAAAATTTTACTAAACATTTAAAAACCCTCACTTTTGCAGCTGAGAACAAGCATGAAAAGATTTTTTTGAGGGGAGAAGAGTTGTGTGTGCCTGAAAATAGGGATTTTAGAACTAAAATATCTCCAGAGCAGTAACTGTGGTGTCACTGTCATGGTGATATAAATCTGCCTGGTTGTGAACTTTTTATTAATAGTCTAATATTTACTAATTGACTCAAGATTCTTCTATTATTCCACACTGCTGGCTTCTTCTCTAACTGACAACACTAATTTTATTTGAGTTTCCATACAGGAAACTGTGATATGAGTTTCAAATTGGCAGAGGTTCAGAGAAAAATGAGTAAAACGTAGATATAGTATGGTATGTTTCTTGCCTTGCCAGTCTGAGACTTCCAATAGTAACTTCATACAAACAGCAAGTTTTCCACATTTCTAACATTATGAAATTATTTCTGTTCTCTCCAGTGCAAAAGAGAGTAAACTGATTTGAGCAGACAGAGTACCCAGCTCAGATGCTAACTTCTGTCCTCAGGAATAAATGGACTCAAGTGTTGCTGCTCCTAAGGAATCACTTAGGAGAGCAAAAGATGATGTCAGATGGGTCTAGATTACAGCATCATGGGGTTGGGAAGTGTGTAAACAAACACATAGGCTGTGTTCTCCCTCTGACTAGTGGATATTGTCAGCTGGCAAAAACTGCTTTCCTAGGCAAAGGGTTTACCAGAAGTGAAAGGAGAAAATACATTCTGTAAATATTACTTTCTAACTATCTGTGTTAGGGTTTTATATTGCCATCAATGCAGTATCTGAATTCCTTCATCATAAAATCAATAGCAATAATGAAGTCCTACTAAAAAGGTTAGAGGTAAACTCTAACAAACTATGGCCCTGATTCAGGAAACAGACACTTAAATACATGCTTAACTATAAGTATGTGCTTAAGTCCCATTGACTTCAAGTCCTAAAATCCCTTTTCAGAATAGGGATGCTTTCCTGACCTGGGGCTTATATATGTATACTTGTATCTGTCTGTCAATCCAGACAGATAGATAGGCAAATAGATTCCCCCAAACACATCTGGTGGTGATATCCATATAACTTGCACAGCCATATAACATAGATATGAAACTATCATACATCTTTGACTACCTCACCGTGCCCTCTGCCCACTCATCCATCATCTCTGAGATTACTTGCAATATTCCAAACTCTTAGCAGTTTCAAACAGCTGCCATATTGGCAGGACTCTGCACTTGTCCTTGTTGAAACTCATCAGATTTCTTTTGGCCCAATCCTCTAATTTGTCTAGGTCCCTCTGTATCCTATCTCTACCCTCCAGCGTATCTACCACTCCTCCCAGTTTAGTGTGATCTGCAAACTTGCTGAGGGTGCAGTCTATGCCATCCTCCAGATCATTAATGAGGATGTTCTCCCCAAGATCATGTGGATCTTCTCCCCAAAATTTCGTCTGCCTGAGGGCTAGTGTGCACCAGATTCAATCCTGAACCACTGATGGATTTAAGGTCCTTTTTCTCATAACTTTATAGGCAGGGCTTACACTCTCAAAGTATTTCCTGGGGTCCCCCATGCTTTCCCCCAACATGCTATAAAAACTCCAGGTGGGTTGAAAATATTTACTCAAGCTCCACTCCAGACAGCTCCAGCTGAATTTAAGCCCTGGTTATAGGGCTAGAAATGTGAGCTTTATCTCGTAGGAAAGGGAAGATTCCCAGCTTCCCAATAGGACATACAGCCCAGGAAGGTCCCTACATATTAAATCATAAAAATGTGAATGGTTAAGTATAGAAAAGCTATTTTAGGTCATTTTAGAAGTTTTTATGTCTCCCTCTGAGTGTACATTGGACTCATGATTGCTGAAGCACCTGGCTTAACAAGCAGAGGGATACAAAAATATGGTACTTAAAACATCAGTGTCCACTGGTGCCTTGCCTATCTTATCACTCCCTTCATTGCTAACAGCAGCAGAGCTGAACCAGTGCTATCCACTGTGTGAAATTTTAGGGAAAAAATCCCAGCGTAGACAAGGTTGTTGAGTCAGTCAGTCAATTGAGAGAAAGGTAGGGAGTCAGGCAAATTCCACAACACATTAGGAGAACTGGTTCAGTTACAAGTAGTTGCTTCAGAACCAACCACCATCAATGCCTTTCATGCATGGCTAGCACTAACATATTTTTATCTTATTTATCTGAATTCAGTAAAAATTAGTGGAGTGCTCACAACCACAGGCAGGTTAGTGCAAAATTTAATTTGCTTTTATCTGCCTAAGACCAGGGAAGCATGAATATAATGTATGTGGTAATGAACTGGTGTACTCTGTATGTGTGTAAGAAAGAACGAAAGAAAGAAAGAGAATTTTCTGTTAGAGATGGGCCTGAAATTAGGATATGTATTCAGAGCCAAATACAAACTCTGACAAAGTTCAAACTGGTCAGATATGATGTTCCAGTTTGGCCCACTTCAGAGAGATGCCAGAGCTGGGAAATTCAATCTGGATCTGGTCTGAACTCCTGCAAAGATTGAGGTGTGGGGTTGGAATACAATCTGCAGTGCTAGTTTGGTCCCATCTCCTATTACATACTCACCCGTGTCATCTAACAAATAAGTTGTAGAGTGTGATTGTGCATACTAAGCTACAAACTGTTAAATGCTCATGCATTCCCACTTTCACATTTATCTCTGAACACAACACCAGTGCAGGGAGTTGATTGCAGATGCTTCCTTATCATATTTCCAATATTGTTTCTATTCTCCTTCATGGTGGCAAGCCTTAAAGGGGCTGCAGATCTAGTGCCCTAGCTTAATTATTACTTAATTCGTCCCAATAATGTCAAAAGGAGATGCACACAGACTAAGCCATTTTCAGCAATTCCCTACTGATGGGCTTAAAAGAACTGGAAAGAATATTTGAAGGCAGTATAGAACATTGTAAGGGCAGTTTTTGGATCCCTTACTTTCCACTAGTTTTTTTTATTCCTGCAAAAGAGACTGCAGTCCCCCTAATATTTTCCCAGTGCTCATTTAAAACTTTAATGGGACAAAATGGGGGAAGGGGGGACTCTATCTGCGAAACTGGACATTAAATGAAGCAATAAAATATTTGCTAAGAGAAGGATTTAAATTAGCAGAGAAATCAGGGAAACAAGATTGTTTTGATACGTGTGTTGGTATTGTTTCTTAAAACAGATACACTTCAGCTGAATTCCTTACATCCTGAGTTTTGATCCTGGGAGGAAATCTGTAGATTGGTTGGGTTTTCCTCAGAGACCCATAAGACAGGCTAAAAAGCCGTGCTCTGCTGGGTTAGACCAATGGACTCGGCCGATTCTGCTTTGCTAATGATCGTGTCAAAAAGTCTGAAGTAGAGAAGGAAGAAAAGTGTGGTGCTCGCTTCGGTGCCAAGGGGCGGAGGGGGGTTCTGGGAAGGCTTGATTGAGCTTGGTGAAGACACCCGGGGGGCAAGTACCCACGCGAGGTAAAGCGTGCGCGGGTGAGGGCAGGGGCTCTCCTGTCAGACAGACGGGGACGCCGCGCACGGGTGCTACCGAGCCCGCCACACTGTGGCTAGGAAGGAGCGCTGAGCTCAGCGCGCGAGGAAGCAGCGATGTGTGCGAATCAGGAGGGAGGTGCCGGGCCCTAGAAATGCCCAGCCGGGGGTGGAGAGAAGGGGGGGGGGGCACTTCGGGATTGACTCCCGCAGGCTCTCACGGTAGCCGTGCCTTGGGGAAAGGCTCGTCCCTTCCCCTCACACACACATACGCAGCAAAGCGCTGTGCCAGGGACTAGTAATTGCTGGGACTTCCTCTTGGGGGAAACTGCGCGGAGGCGCGGGCTCGGTCACGGCGGCTCTCGGCTCCCTCCTCCCCGCTGGTGCTGTAGTCCCGGGAAGGACGGGGCGCTTGCAAGGGAGGTGGCTGCTGGGGAGGATGCGCTGCCAGCTGGGGGCCGGGTTCATCATGTGACTCTCCCGGGCTGCAAAGACCCCCCGCCTCCTCCCCGCACCATGAGTGAACTGGATGCTGGGCAGCATCCAAGCCGGAGACAGGTAGAGCCCGGGCTGCTTCTCAATCTCCTGTACTGCGTGTTCCTAGTGGGGACCAAGGAAATCGAGGCTCTGACAGACTTCTCAGGTAAGGCAGCATGGCCATGCCCTGCCCGGGGCTGGCAGAACCCGCCTGGGGCTGGGAGGAGACAGGGACACTGAGTAACAGGTGGGCACCTCACTAGCATGCACTGGGGGAAAGGGGGTAGCTTGTCTACCTGCCCAACAAGCAGGGTGCAGGGCCAGGATCAGGGGGTGTGCCTAGGAGGGGCTCCTCAATACAGTGCGTGCCCAGCACTGGCTCATCAGCAAGGTGCATGGCCAGGATTAGGGTGCCCAGCTCTCAGCTCAGCGGGATATGTGCACAGGGTGTGTGCCCAGCAGGGATGTGTGCATAGGATTAGGGTGCATGTCTAGGAGTAGTTAGGTGAATGTCTGGGAGGGGCTCATGAACAGAACATGTGCCCAGGGTTATGGTGCACCCTGGAGTGGTTCCTCACTAGGGTGCATGCTGGGGATTAGGGTGCATGCTCTGGTATAAAGGTATAATGATAGATAGATAGATAGATAGATAGATAGATAGATAGATAGATAGATAGATAGATAGATAGATGAGAAGGCTGGAACGTTTTACTTTGGCTAAATTGTCTGATTTACATTTTCCATTTGAGCTATTCAGGTCATAAAGGATGATTTTGGAATCAGTGAAACTTCTAACTGTTACCATTGCTTTGGAAATCACATTTAGGAATTCAGTTTTAGCCTTTGGGCCTGCACTGGGCATAGATGTTAGCTGTACAAAGCCCACACTTAGACACAGGGCAAAGATTAGTCAAAGGGAGAACACTGGCTACCTCTTCAACACAGATCAGTTAAAAGAAGAGACCCATTAACTCTGTAGCATTGAGCAAGATCATGCCCATCCTGACAGGCTGTTAGGCCAACACCACAAAAGTTAATAAGAGCATGATTCAGACCTTCTGGTGCTGTAGAATTACTCAAAGAGGAGGACATAGGAAGAGGGAGTTAAGGGTTCCAGGGAAGTGGCATGGGAAGCAGTGTGACAACTTTAACTATTCAGTACCATCAATCTCTTTTCAAATAAAACGATGAGAACACAATTTGGTAGCGAGTAAGGGCCTGTGCCAAAGTCCATGGGAGTCAATGGAAAAACTCTCACTGACTTCCATGGACTTTGGATCAGGCCCTAAGTAAAGATATCATACAAGGTCAGTTCTGAGACTAGTGGACACACCAGTCCCCCATCAAAATGACATGTGGCTGATAATGCAAGGGAACTATTTAATAATGCAAAATTTAAATAGCTTTGGAAATTGTACTGATGCTGCTGCTTATTTTCAGCAGAAAGAAGGGACAACATTTCTATTGAAGATTACTATTTCTGTTTAATTTCTTTTGTTATATGACATAGGACATTTCATTGTTGTTATGAAAGTACTTAGAAGATCAGCTGTTTGCCTTTGCATATTTAATAATATGCTTAGTATTCCCCTCATAGTTGCAACCTTACCAAACTGTAAGCCAATGTTTTCTGCTATGGCAAAAGGTAAACCTCACAATTAAAAAGCAGAGTCTAACTTTCCAAATCCTAATCAGGTGCACTGGGACAAAGTTAATACATCATCAATAATATTAATACATTATTATAAATATTAACATAGTTAATGTTAATACTCTTTAAAATGATGGTGGATGGTTGTGCAGAGGCTGGACATGTTTATTTTCTCAAATGTAGGAAACATAGTTTGTACTATTGTTTCAAATTGAATAAAAGTGAAAATCCTTTTCCTGAACAAGCATACCTAAATTGTAGAGAACAAAATAACAGATTTATATGTTATATGACTACCCTTAGATTCCTTTCACATGTAAAAGGCTTTTAAATACTTGTTATCTTACTCTTAGGTGTTTTGTGGCTTGACTCCCAGTTATTGGTAGTAGTACTGGAGTTACTAATGTAACTGTATATAAGTAAGAAAAAATAATAATAATAGAGTTCACATTTTCCATTTCTAATAGCAACTGAATTCAAAAATATCCCTAGATCCTCTCACAAAAGATTATTCAAACTTGAAATTAAGTTATTTAGATAAGGAAATCCAAGATAAATTTCAAAAGTACTTATGTATTCAGTATTTCATTGTTCATAGAGCTATCCAAATAAATGAAATTAATCAAGACAATTCCCCCCCCCCAAACCCAGAATCCAGCATTACAAATATGCCATACAGACAACTGTGTAAGTAAAATGTAGAAGAGCCTCTTAATTGCAATCTATTGCCAGCAGGAACTGGTGACATTTGTAGGCATTACAATCTGCTCACATTTTTTCTTAATGCAGGCATGTAATCCGTAGTGATAAAGAAAAAAATCAAAATGTTAGCGATCCCTTTAAGGGAAAAAAGAATGCTATCCAGAACAATCCAAGCAGGTTTTTCACTAGCTCCGAATTAGTGAAACTTACAACAGGTAGTGCAGGCCAAAAGCTGTCAGAAAATTCTCAAGAAGTAAGATGAAACCTGTAAATGCCATCCTGAGTCTGCTTAAAACTAATATACCTGTTAAGGAGCTGCAGGCTATGCAACAGCAAACACAAGTACTGAGCTTCTAAAGTTGCTGACTTTCCTTATACTTTCCCTTCCTTCCTCAGCAAAAGCACACAGTAGATTTTCTTAAGCCTTGTTGAGTTTGTGAAAACAAATCTGCCTCTTTTAAAGAGACAGTACACTATTGGCACAAAGACTCGTAAGAAACAAAACAATCTCTCTCTGGCAGAGGTGACCTGTGCCTGCTGATAGGCTCCCCTCCCCTCCCCCCCCCCCATGTGTCCCCTCTGCTCTCAAGGACAGATGTTAAAAGAAGCTGTGCTGATTTACCTCAGCTGAGGAGCTGGCTCTCAGTGTTTTGTAATCCACATGCATGTTCACTTTTTGGTAGGGTGACCAGACAGCAAGTGTGAAAAATCGGGACGGGGGTCGGGGGGGTAATAGGAGCCTATATAAGAAAAAGCTCCCAAAGTCGGGACTGTCCCTATAAAATCGGGACATCTGGTCACCATACTTTTTGGAGAAGGTGAATCCAACAGCAAAATCTCCATGCGGCCTGGTGCGCATTTCCTTTTGAAAACCATGTCACAGCAAAAGAAATTGAAAGAGTCAAGGGGTCATTTAAGTGTTCCGTACAGTTGGATCCAGTAGTGAGAGATTAGTGATGCACACGGAATTGGAAGGAAAGTTGCTTAAGCTTTTTCTCCTCTTCACAGATCTTGAGCTTTTATACTCAGATTATCAGGTGGCATACTTTCTTGGTTCACTGATCTTTTCACTCTATGTGATTCTAGCATCAGATCTCTACCTCAGCAGCCCCAAACTGGGCTGTCTCTCTCTCCTCCTTCTCCTGGCATTCTGATGATTTCCTCTAATCACTTCCCAGCCTGCTGTGAGAGCCTGCATGAAACAACAGTACATTTACCCTTTCCCTTTTAAAATACATTAAATTGTGCTGTCAGTACTAACCTGGAAATTGTTCAGTCGTTTGTTGGTCACAGGACCTAATTCTCCCCACCAGGGGCGGCTCTATGTATTTTGCCGCCCCAAGCACAGCAGTCAGGCGGCCTTCAGCGGCACGCCTGCGGGAGGTCCGCTGGTAACGTGGATTCGGCGGCATGCCTGCGGGAGGTCCGCCAGTCCCACGCCTTCGGCGTACCCGCCGCCAAATTGCTGCCGAAACCGCGGGACCGGTGGACCTCCCGCAGGCATGCCACCGAAGGCAGCCTGACTGCCGCCCTCATGGCGACCAGCAGGACGCTCCCCGCAGCTTGCTGCCCCAGGCACGTGCTTGGTGCGCTGGTACCTGGAGCCGCCCCTGCTCCCCGCACATGCAAAGGTTTGGAGCATAGAGTTGGACTTATACAATGGAAAGATACACAAAAGAACAATAAGAATGAGGAGTACTTGTGGCTCCTTAGAGAATAACAAATGTATTTGGGCATAAGCTTTCGTGGGCTAAAACCCACTTCATCGGATGCATGCCGTGGAAAATACAGTAGGAAGATATATATACACAGAGAACATGAAAAAATGGGTGTTGCCATACCAACTATAACGAGACTAATTAAAAGACTTTTCTTTTTGCTGTTACAGACTAACACAGCTACCACTCTGAAACAAAAGAACAATGACATTTTAGGCAAAACAGGGAAGGTAGGGGTTTATTTTTTAAAAAGTGTTCCTGGTCATTTTCAAGAGGGTCGCTACAGTAGCTCAATGGCCTCCAGAACTATCCTGCTTTCTCCATACCTTACAGGGCCAGCCCAAGCTGCTTACCACAGCCTTGACACGGTAGAGGCCCGAGACTATACCAGGGTCAAGGCAGTCATCTCACATGCTTTTGATATCATCACCAAAATCCACTGGCAACGTTTCTACCAGGAAAGATTTCCCCAGGGTGCCAGTCTGCAGGCTATGGCCCAGCACCTTAAGGAACACTGCTGGAGGTGGCTTCAACTTGACAAGCAAACTGGGGAGCAGATCAAGCAGAGTTGGAGCAATTTACACAGATTCTCCCCACCAGCAGCTGGGAATGGGTGTTATGACACCAGTGGGGCCTTGGCCGATGCAATTAGGTTGGTGGAAAACTTTCTGGGGGCAGGTGGCACCACAAGAGCTGGGTGGTGACCAGAAGGCCCTAGACACAAGGTCTCCCTGCCCCGGGGATCCAGAGACTACTGAGGGCAGTATGCCTCAGTGAATTTAGGATTCTACCCTGACCTGCAACCGTTACCCAGCCACAGCTTGGATGGGACCCTGGGAGTCTGGGCTCAGGGGCCTGAGCACCCCAAGGAGAAACCCAGCCCTGATGGGGAACCATCCAATGCTGGGAAGGGATAGAGCGAGCCCCCCGACCAAACCCTGCTTCTTGTGCGAAAGGCCTGGCCATTTCTGTCAAGAGTTCCTCTACATGGACTGCTCCTATGGGCAGGTCTGGATGGCGGATACCCAGGCCAGAAAGAAAGGGCCAGACAAAATCGTAATTCCTGTGCAGGTTAATGGGGTGGCTGTGCTGGCG